AACGCAATAATACCTACATCCATTAGAGTTGTAATAAAACATTTCTTAATGTAACGTAATAATACCCATATCTTTAAGAGTCTTGATAAAAACATTTGTTAATGTAACGGAATAATATCTACATCATTCAGAGTAGTGACAAAACATTTGATTATGTAACGTAATAATATCTACATCATTCAGAGTAGTGACAAAACATTTGATTATGTAACGCAATAATACCTACATCCTTCAGAGTAGTGATAAAAACGTTTTTTAAAGAAACGCAATAATACCTACATCTATTAGAGTTGTGATAAACATATTTGTTAATGTAACGCAATAATACGTACATCCTTGAGAGTTGATTGAAACATTTGTTAATGTAACGCAATATTACTTACATTCTTAAGAGTTGATAAAAACATTCGTTAATGTAACGCAAAAATACGTACATACTTCAGAGTAGTGATAAAAACCTTCGTTAATGTAACGTAAAAATACCTATATTTTTCAGAGTTGTAATAAAACATTTGTTAATGTAACGCAATTATACCTACATTCTTCAGAGTAGTGATAAAAACATTTGTTAATGCAACGTAATAATACCTATATCTTTCAGAGTCAAGATAAAATATTTGTTAATGTAACGCAATAATGCACATATTTTACAGAGTAGTGATAAAAACATTTGTTATTGTAACGCAATTATACCTACATACTTCAGAGTAGTGATAAAAGCTTTGTTAATGTATCGCAATTATATTTAAACTTTCAGAGTTATAATAAAACATTTGTTAATGTATCGCAATTATATTCAAAACTTCAGAGTAGTGATAAAAACTTTGTTAATTAACGTAATAATACCTATATCTTTCAGAGTCGTGATAGAAATATTTGTTAATGTAACGTAATAATACCTATATCTTTCAGAGTTGTGTTAAAAACATTTGTTAATGCAACACAATAATACTTCCATCCTTCAGAATAGTGATAAAAATATTTTTTAATGTATCGCAATTATATTTAAAACTTTCAGAATTATAATAAAACATTTGTTAATGTATCGCAATTATATTTTAAATTTCAGAGTTATAATAAAACATTTGTTATTGTAACATAATAATACCTACATATTTCAGAGTCGGGATAAAAACATTTGTTAATGTAACGCAATAATAGCTATATTTTTCATAGTCCTGATAATAACTGAGAAAATCATAGTTTTTATGTGACTGAATAAAGGTTACTTATCTAGTGACACTGGCAAAATCATGGGCTTTATGTGTTTGAATGAAATTAAATTATCTAGTGGCAATGTAAAAATCGTTGTATTTACGTGATTGTGGTATCAATACAATATAAGCTGTGGTGTAAGTATAAGATACACATTAATATCAACAGAAGATATATCGTGTTCTCAAGAGACGGTACATCAGTAAAATATATTAGATAAGTAACCTTTATTCAATCAAATAAGAGCCATGATTTTGCCAATATCACTAGATAAGTAACATTTATTAAATCACATAAAGATCATGATTTTCTCAGTTATTATCAGGACTATGAAATATATAGCTATTATTATGTTACAATAACAAATGTTTTATTTTAATTCTGAAAGTTTTAAATATAATTGCGATACATTAACAAATTCAATCAAATAATAACCATAATTTTGCCAGTGTCACTAGATAAGTAACCTTCATTCAATCAAATAATAACCATGATTTTTCCAGTGTCATTATATAAGTAACCTTTATTGAATCAAATAAATACCATAATTTTGCCAGTGTCACTAGATAAGTAACCTTCATTCAATCATATAATAACCATGATTTTTCCAGTGTCATTATATAAGTAACCTTTATTGAATCAAATAAATACTATAATTTTACCAGTGTCACTAGATAAGTAACCTTCATTCAATCATATAATAACCATGATTTTTCCAGTGTCATTATATAAGTAACCTTTATTGAATCAAATAAATACTATAATTTTACCAGTGTCACTAGATAAGTAACCTTCATTCAATCATTTAAAGGCCATGATTTTGCCAATATCACTAGATAAGTAATCTTTATTCAATCAAATAAAGGCCACGGCCTTTATTTGATATAATAAAGGATACTTATCTAATGACACTGGAAAAATCATCGACTTTATTTGATAGAGTAAAGGTTACTTATCTAGTGACACTAGTGAAATCAAGGTCTTTATGTGATTGACTAAAGGGTAGTTATCTATTGACACTGGCAAAATCATGATCTTCATGTAATTGAGTAAAGTTACTTATGTAGTGATATTGGCAAAATCACGGCCTTTATTTGATATAATAAAGGATACTTATCTAATGACACTGGAAAAATCATCGACTTTATTTGATAGAGTAAAGGTTACTTATCTAGTGACACTAGTGAAATCAAGGTCTTTATGTGATTGACTAAAGGGTAGTTATCTATTGACACTGGCAAAATCATGATCTTCATGTAATTGAGTAAAGTTACTTATGTAGTGATATTGGCAAAATCATGATTTTGCCAGTGTCACTTGATTAGTAGCCTTTATTCAATGACATAAAGACAATGATTTTGCCAGTGTCATTAGATAACTACCCTTTACTCAATCACATAAAGGCCGTGATTTTGCCAGTGTCACTAGATTAGTAACCTTTATTCAATCAAATAATAACCATGATTTTTCCAGTGTCATTAGATAAGTAACCTTTATTGAATCAAATAAATACCATAATTTTGCCAGTGTCACTAGATAAGTAACCTTTATTTAATCAAATAAGACCATGGTTTTGTCAGTGCCACTAGATAAATAACATTTATTCAGTGAAATAAAGGCCATGATTTTGACAGTGTCACTAGATAAGTAACCTTTATTTAATCACATAAAGACCACGATTTTGTCATTGTCACTAGATAAGTAACCTTTATTTAATCACATAAAGACCATGATTTTGTCATTGTCACTAGATAAGTAACCTTTATTTAATCACATAAAGACCATGATTTTGCGAGTGTCACTGGATAAGTAATTTTTGCAGTCGCGTGAAAAATGTGATTTTATCATTTACAGTTGCTATTGTTTGAGTAATTGCTCAAATTTGATATCTGACTTCAAATTGCATCTATAAGAAACTTTGTTATCCATTAGAAATATGTCGTTTTACAATCAATATATAATATAGTTTTGTAATTACCTACAGATTATAAGTTAATTAATAACATCAAAACAACCAGTATGGGTGGAAAAAGTCTGATTCTGATGACGTTTTGTTGGTGTATAATCTACGAAAATTCACCCCATAGGTGGCAGCAAGTATTGTAAAAATTTATATTCTGATCACAGGATTTTTTTTTCTAAATTTATTGTGTTTCGTTGTTGTTAAGTGCAAATTTACACAAGATGTGCTCTGCCCACCACGGGTATCCAAACTCGATTTTTAACGTCTTTGGTTCTTTTGTTAGAAGAAAACAATTAGATTAAGATTTTATATCAAAGGAAACTTGTGTCTTGATCTTTTCATGTTACGCATGAGCTACGACTCTGTCACGATTTTGTAACATGCATGGATGATATGGCTTTGTCAGTCACAGCGCGAGATTTACGTGAATTTGATAATCACGTGAAATAAAAGAAGACGTTTACAAAAATATAATAAGTGTTTGTTTATATAATTTTCTTTGATAATCAATTAAATAATTCAATGGTTCTTTATCCCAAAGTGACCTGATTAATGACGCTGTTAAAGTAACTTCAGTAATTCTTCTAAGTACATTTATTATAAAATCATAAAATATTTTAATCCTACCGAAAGAGTGAATTTATTATTTTTATAAATAATTTGTGACTTTTACAAAGACAGTAAAACAGATTTCTAGTGACACAGAATATTATGTTTTATTACTTAGACCGTAAAATCTAATTTGTAAATCAACCAGAAGAAGCTACCTTTATTCAAATTAAGTGACTTTGTTATTAGCGCAACTCTGTGACTTTATTAGTAAATCAACTATGTGACTTTTTTATAGAAGACAACAAGACTGGTTACTTCAAAAGGTTCAGGAATTGTGTATTTGTTTGAAGTCGTTTTTAAACTCCATTACTTAACTCATTTGAATTACTTGTTGTCTTATGACGTTTCATGTTTACTTTCACCTGAGAATAAAAAATATTACACAGAACGAGTAATGACTTTCTCAACGTTTCATGTTTACTTTCTCTTGACAATAAATAATAATACACAGAAAAAGTAATGATTTTTTAACGTTTCATGTATACTTTCGTCTGACAATGAATAATAATGCACAGGACGAGTAATGATTTTTTAAAAGTAAAATCTTTAAATGAATAAGTAGGCGCTTACAAGATTATTTCTTCCAAAATTTGGAATCACTTTTGCCTATTTGACGTTTACCAAAGTTCCTAGTTAACGTGGTCACGTAAGAAAGCTTTTACGTAATCAAAATACATCAGTTCAATAGTTTGAGTTTCGATACGAATCATTAATTATCTGTATCGTGACAACAGACAGTTGTTCAATAGCCTTTTCGTGCAGGTAAGTCATCCACTTGGGGATGACACAGCACTTTCAGAGCCGAATATTGCGTGACTTGTAGTTCAACGTTATTTACGATCACTATTTTAACTTTGGCTTCTACCGAGATTGTATCATGATAAGCACGTGGGTTGAGTACTCGTGTCCAGTAGCGGTTATTATCTCGTCCTAATGCAATATCCACCGAAGAATAACAACAATAAGAAATCGACGTTTTTATATCCACGTGCTTTAAAAGCCTGCTTCCGTTTTATCTGGCAAAGGGAAAGGCTGAGATACATGATGTAACAATCAACTTAACATTATATGAAAATATATACAGACTCACTTTTTAAAAGTCCGAGATATCACTTCACGTGAAACTGTCTTAACGAATGATTCTACCCAAAAATCTTTCTCTGCATGAGGATAGACAAATTCTAAACTTTTCCTCATATTCCTTGGCACAATGAGACCGTTAACTATAAGTAGTTTTGTTCGTATTTTACTGGTAGTATTCCTCCATCAAGTAATATTATGCGTCAAGATCCACGCTTCAGACACTTTTACAGCTCACATGCTTGGAATCTTTGTTAGTGACAACGAGTTACCTTGCGAACATCACGTTCTTAAACAGACATTGGAAATAGCAAAGGAGAAAGTGACAACCCTCTACCCTCACATTGCATTCCATCTGGTTGTCCGCAATAGCGAAACCTTGTGCAATGCCAACATGGCTGCCATTTTCGCGGCGGAAGAATATTATCGGCGCAAAGTTACTGCGTTCATTGGTCCTGGTTGTTCGACTGGTTTGGAACCTGTAGGAAATATGGCGTCGTATTGGAATCTTCCTGTCTTCTCATCTGGAGGGATCGACAACAAGTTTTCAAACAAGATCATTTACTTAACACTTACCCGACTAGGCTTCTCTCTTCAAAGACTGAGTGAATTTGTTCTGGCCACAAACCACCAGTTTAATTGGCACCGAATAGCCATTGTGGTGGACGAAACTGACCACCTTCACATTTTGATGAGACAGAGTTTAGAACTAGCACTGTATGAAGTTGACCACGAGGTGCACATTGGATTGCACGCTTTTTCCAGAACAGCTCGTCTTCAGGCCAATTTTACTAACATCCTTCAAGAAGGAAGCCAGTACGCTAGAAGTGAGTGTACCTCTTTAATTAATAATTCACTATTCATCAACAACTTTACAAAGAACAACTTCCATAGTAGCTGAGTTAGATAAACGTTCCTTAATAGCAGTATGTCAAAAATTACTGATAATCATATATATCTTTCTATACTTTTATAAAGTGAAATCAAAATCTAAAATATCATTGCCACCATATATCAGTTTTGTCGTTGATTCATACTTTTTAAAAGCATTTGCTCAATGTGTTGAGCTCGAAGGTATTGAAGTGATTATTATAGTCCTCAACTAATTCAGAATAATATTATGTGTGTACTGTGTACTAAAGTGCTAAATTCAGTAAAAAAAAATCTTTGAAAACATGTACTTTTATATTTGTTTTTGTTTTCACGCAAAGATGCATCACGAACTATTTGCGCTGCATCCGCTGCGGGATTCGAACCTTCATTTTTTCTTTACTTAACCACTCTTCATTATCAAGAATATAGTACATCACAATAATACGAAGGACTAACATTAAACCCCACGTCGTAGGACATGCTAATATTAACCTACACGTCAAACACGATATAATGTATATACAGTTGAGTTCATCATTATCATTATAAATTCCGTTTCATGAATTTGAAAGAAATTGTCTGTTTTACTTTGAGCAATATATTCATAATAATATCTGTTTGAGTACCAAACAAGTATCAATCTCCTTATGCGCTACCTGTAACATCTGCATGAGTACCAAACAAGTATCAATCTCCTTATGCACTACCTGTAACATCTGCATGAGTACCAAACAAGTATCAATCTCCTTATGCAGCATAAGGAGATTGATACTTGTTTGGTACTCATGCAGATGTTACAGGTAGGCTACCTGTAACATCTGCATGAGTACCAAACAAGTATCAATCTCCTTATGCGCTACCTGTAACATCTGCATGAGTACCAAACAAGTATCAGTCTCCTTCCCCTCTATCTGTAATATTTGTAAAAGTGGCCCGGCATAGCCAGGTGGTTAGGGCACTCGACTCGCGATCTGACTGTCGTGGGTTCGAATCCCCGTCCCACAAAACATGCTCGCCCTTTCAGCCGTGGGGGCGCTATAAAGTGACTGTCAATCCCATTATTTGTTGGTAAAAGAGTTGTTGGTGAGTGGTGATGACTAGTTGCCTTCAGTGTTAAATTAAGGACGGCTAGTGCAGATAGCCAACGTGTAGCTTGCGCGAAATCAAAACAAAACAAACCAATATCTGTGAGAGCTCCAAACAAGTATTTAGTTTCTTTTCCCGCTATCTGTAACATGTGTGTGAGCATCAATGTCAGGATTTTACGTATGTTTACTGGGTTCGGATTCTTTACCATAGATGTCTGTGACTTGTTGGCGATAAATCGGAACAGTAAACGGATAGCACACAATTCACTTGTTTTAAAATAATTTATTCAGTGCAAGACAAGCGTATGTACTTGAATTCTTTAAACTATAGGATATCACAGTTGTATGTAAAGCTTTAAACAATTCTCTTTTCTTGTCAAAACTTCGCAAAAACTGGTTCAATTACTTTAGGATCCAACTGATAAGACGAATTATTTTTCTCTACTTTGTTTCTTACTACACAATCTGAGATAAATTCACCTACATTACCCCATGTGTTACCACAGTTGTATCGAGAACTTTAAATAATTGTCTCCTTTTCGTCAAAGTCCACACAGACTGGTTCAGTTACTTTAGAACCCACTTGACAAGACGGATTATTTTTCCTATCTCTGTTGTTGCAATCCAGATATGAAACACACTATATAAATCATCCATTAGGGCTAACTTCAAGTTTTCTTTCACTAACTAACCTTTTTCCCAACTAAACTTCACTTATACTCACTTCGTCGCCTATATTTATACATTTTCCAACTGAGGCCTAGAACTTTCTTAAAACTGGGAGACTCTATGATGTAACAATACTCACATAGCGAGAAAAACTTAGAGGTTTCAAAAATGGTGACGGCAATAATACTACAACAATTGAACCACACACACAACGTATGACTCTTACAGGGTTGCGTAACGATATTTGTCATAATTATGACTTTAAAAATAATTGCGTTTAACATTCTTGTTATGAAAACTAAATATCCATTAAATATTAAATTACTAAGTAAACTAAATAATAACTATTAAGCTGAACAATCTTCTATATCCAACAATCAAACAATTATCTAATCTCCTTATCCGCTATCTGTAACATGAGTGAATACCAAACGAGTATCTAATATCCTTACCCGCTCTCTGTAACATGTGTGAATACCAAACGAGTATCTAATATCCTTACCCGCTCTCTGTAACATGTGTGAATACCAAACGAGTATCTAATATCCTTGCCTGCTATCTGTAACATATGTCAGAACCAAAAAAGTATCTAATATCCTTATCCGCTCTCTGTAACATGTGTGAATACCAAACAAGTATCTAATATCCTTACCCGCTATCTGTAACATATGTCAGAACCAAACAAGTATCTAATATTCTTACCCGCTCTCTGTAACATGTCTGAATACCAAACAAGTATCTAATATCCTTGCCTGCTATCTGTAACATGTGTAAATACCAAACAAGTATCTAATATCCTTACCCGCTATCTGTAACATGTGTAAATACCAAACAAGTATCTAATATCCTTACCCGGCATCTGTAACGTGTGTAAATACCAAACAAGTATCTAATATCCTTGCCTGCTATCTGTAACATGTGTAAATACCAAACAAGTATCTAATATCCTTACCCGGCATCTGTAACGTGTGTAAATACCAAACAAGTATCTAATATCCTTGCCTGCCTTGTTTGGTATTTACACATGTTACAGATAAGATGCCGGGTAAGGATATTAGATACTTGTTTGGTATTTACACACGTTACACTTGTTTGGTATTTACACATGTTACAGATAGCAGGCAAGGATATTAGATATAAGGATATTAGATCTTGTTTGGTATTTACACATGTTACAGATAGCAGGAGATGCCGGGTAAGGATATTAGATAGAATTTGATCAGCCCTAGTATACAATTCACTTTAGAAGTTTAAGATGAGGGTTGTTTAAACTTTATAGATGTTTATGTGAAAAGAGAGAGGGACTTTCTGTCTACTTCTTTTTACAGGAAACCATTCTAGGTTGCCATGCCGTCGCATGTGAGATCGTATCACCCATGGCCACAAAAAATATCCTTATTCTCGTCTTTTATTTTTATAGGGTTATTAGTGTTTCGTCATATGATGAGGATTTGATGTTAAAATTAACGTATCTAAAACAGGTAGCGAATGATAGAGAGTATCAACCTCAAATAGATAGGATGTACAGTAAATATTGTAACAAACTTCAAATTTCTGAATTTACTAAATTGCAGATAACAAAAATGTAAAGTAGGTAATGAATATGTTTGTTCTATGTTTCACCATGGTCAATATAAATAGGTAATGAATATGTTTGTCTCATGTTTCACATGGTCAATAAAAATAGGTAATGAATATGTTTGCCTCATGTTTCACCATGGCCAATAAAAATATATAATGAATATGTTTGTTCTATGTTTCACCATGGTCAATAAAAATAGGTAATGAATATGTTTGTTCTATGTTTCACCATGGTCAATAAAAATAGGTATTGAATATGTTTGCCATGTTTCACCATGGTCAATAAAAATAGGTAATGAATATGTTTACCTCATGTTTCACCATGGTCAATAAAAATAGGTAATGAATATGTTTGCCTCATGTTTCACCATGGTCAATAAAAATAAGTAATTAATATGTTTGCTCTATGTTTCACCATGGTCAATAAAAATAAGTAATTAATATGTTTGCTCTATGTTTCACCATGATCAATATAAATAGGTAATGAAATTTAGAATAAAAGAACATCAAAATGCGGTGGATAAATCCTAAGCGGGTAAATCGGCTTTGGTAGAACATGTGGCGAATTCTACACATGTTATTGATTGGGATAATTTAAAAATACTTAAACAGGTAACGGAAAAAGATGAACTAAACATAAGAGAATCCTTAGAAATTGTTAACAACAAAATGAATATCAATAGAGATTTAACCACAGGAGCCACAGAAGTAAATCTTTGGAGATCGTTGTTGTAAATGGTGCCACTATAAAAACATATAAATAATTAGGTTTATAAGAAACTGGTTTATTCTCCTGAAGATTGTGGAATTATTTCCACCGAAACATGTAGAGTTTTAAAAGATTTTTAAACTTTTTATTAATGTTATTAAAAATACCATCTAAGTCTTTACTGTCTTTCTTTATCTTCTCTGGTTTGAGTAAGTAAGAACCAGAAGACTCTCCTTCCTCAGACTTTTACATTCTACTCATTTTTAACATATTCTAGTTTGTTTAATTTTTCTGTTTGTTTAATAAAGTACTTTGCAATTTCCTGGTTTTAATTTACCATGTCCTTATTTTGCCATGTCTCTTTTTTAACGGCCTGGTGGTTAGGGCACTCGACTCACAATATATTGATCCTTATAAAGTTAAGGTCCATCCCAGTATTCGTTAGTAAAACAGCCCATGAGTTGACGATGGGTGGTGTTGAGTAGCTAAAGTAGGGACGGTTAGCTCTCAAGTAGCTTTGCGTGAAATTCAAAAATAACCAAACAGACTCTTTAGCTATTATCAAACCTATTATTATTTCACCTTTCTTCCTAACCTGTTAACATTCATGTAATTTGCTTGAGTGATTTACATTAGTTTACCGTACACTTTCTCTTACCGTCAGAGCTCTACAATTATGAGTGGTGTGACCCTACACCATCTATAGATCAATTTGGAGAGTCTTTTGATATGTGGTCCTCTGCCAAGTATAAGATGAAAATTTTCACTTGTGCTAAATGTTTAACTTCAATAAAAATATAAGTGGGCATCGAATCCATAAATTTCAAAATTTAAGGTTGCGAGGTAACAATAGGATGAAACCTAACACACATGTGACGTATTCAACGTATTCCCTGTCCACATTTTATCCAAAATACAGCCCTACTGTTCACATTTAAAATCTTGTAGTTTCACCATTAAATTGCGTCGTATATGTGCAATGGAACACTCAAAAATAAAAGACACAGAGAAAGTTTTTCTACTCAGTTCCGTGCACCTGGTGATTACTTTCTCCAATAAAAATTTCCTGATCCAACCCTAATTTAGTATCACGAGAGAATAGTTAGCTCATAACCTCATGGTTGAGGAACCATCCCCGAAATTAACATTGCTCAATATTCCCAAATAAAGTAATCTACCAATATCCGTTACGAACACATCTCCAGTCTTAACACAATCGCTACAAGTAATCGACCAATATCCGTCACGGACACATTTTCAGTTACTACACAATCTCTAGAAGTAATCGACCAATATCATTCACAAACACACCCCCAGTCTTTACACAATCTCTAGAAGTAATCGACCAATATCCGTCACTGACACATCTCTAGTCTCTACACAATCTCTAGAAGTAATCGACCAATATCCGTCACTGACACATCTCTAGTCTCTACACAATCTCTAGAAGTAATCGACCAATATCCGTCACTGACACATCTCTAGTCTCTACACAATCTCTAGAAGTAATCGACCAATATCCTTCACGGACACATCTCCAATCTTAACACAATCTCTAGAAGTAATCGACCAATATCCGTCACTGACACATCTCTAGTCTCTACACAATCTCTAGAAGTAATCGACAAATAACCGTCACGGACTCATTTTCAGTTACTACACAATCTCTAGAAGTAATCTACCAATATCCGTCACTGACACATCTCTAGTCTCTACACAATCTCTAGAAGTAATCTACCAATATCCTTCACGGACACATCTCCAGTCTTAACACAATCTCTAGAAGTAATCGACCAATATCCGTCACTGACACATCTCCAGTCTCTACACAATCGCTACAAGTAATCGACCAATATCCGTCACGGACACATCTTCAGTCTCTGCAAAATCTCTAGAAGTAATCGGCCTCAGGTTAAAATTCGCCTTCATTTTACAAACAATACCGATAATCATTAAATAATATCTGAACTGAGAGAAAAAAGAAAAAACGCAAAAAAAAACCTGGACTGCCTGAAATGTAGTTTTCTCTTTCTATACTAAACTAACAGGATGTTCAGTATAACGGTTACATGAAAACGTCTTTAGTTTTATTATTTTATACTAAACTAACCGGATGTTCACTGTAAATTTCTCATAACAGTGTTTAGATTTCTTTTTTTAAACTAAACTAACCGGATATTCATTGTAATATTCTCATAACAGAGTGTTTAGATTTTTTTAAACTAAACTAACCGGATGTTTCTTGTAAATATCTCATTACAGAATGTTTAGATTTCTTTTTTAAACTAAACTAACTGGATGTTCACTGTAAACTTCTCATTACAGAGTGTTTAGATTTCTTTTTTAAACTAAACTAACCGGATGTTCACTGTAAATTTTTCTTCAGTTTTTATCCTCGTGGCTAAAGGATACACTGTTAGAAACATTCTTTTGGCTGCTCATGACCTAGGGATGTCTAATGGAGAATACGCTTTTCTTACAATAGAACTATTCAAAAACAAACGTAGCTTTGGAGACTTTTCGTGGTTCGTACCTGGTGATAGCAGGAATAAGGTAAGTGGAAGTAAAAACTAAGCTCTCTTAACCTTGCTTGTATTATGTGGAAGACTGGAGTAGCTAAGTGGTCAGGAGTTTTTGTTGTCAGAGTAAGATTGAAAGTGTACAAAACGTCACGTTTCCCTTTGAAGTGCTGCTATTTTAGAATAGAAACGACAAATTAGAGGACATCCCTCCTAAATCATCGGTAAAATAGTAGTATATTATAATAGTTGGAAGAATAGTATGAAACAAATGTAATATTTGATAACCTTAGATGACTTTAATTAAATAATAGTAATGTTGCATATCTGCTTGTTTGATAATTTCTGGTATAAATTTTTCCGAGGAACTTCAGCGATACAAGTTCTTTCTTGATTAAACCAGTTTATTATTTCTCGATACAAATTTTAGTAATACACAGAATTTCAGCAGTCACTTTAAACTTAACAACCTTTATAATAC